ACTCACAAGTCTTCCACGACCTCCAGAAGAAGGCAGAATGGCTGATCTCCCCTCCCAAGGCATTGATCTGGTGTGGATGCTGCCAGGGAAGTACAGTGGGGGAGGGGTGTCGCAGGTCAGGGCAACTGCCCCTGTATTTGCCACTCATGGTCCAGCCAGGGAAACCACTTTAGGCTTCTGGCTCCCAGTCATCACCTCTCTTGGGCGGATACCTGCGTCTCTCTCCTCCCTGCCCGGAGGATTTCCAGGATGCACAGCTCCCTGCCTACACTGTGAGTTCCCCAGCAATTCAGACCCCCTCAGCCGGCCTGCTTTGCCCTCCTTCCTCAGAGGCTACAAACAGCCCAGTCTCCCACGGCTATAAGGTATCACACAGCTGTTAGCAAGCACATGGATTCTTAAGGTAAAAGCATTGCAGGGAAACCCTCTTAAAACCCAGCAGAGAACCTACACACCTGCTAATAAGCTTTCCAGAGATCACCCTGCTTCCAATCAGGTAACTCACAGGCAGTGGGTTTCTCCTTGGGGAGCAGCTTCCAGCGGCTGAGGTTTTGCATAAACAGAGGCGTTACATTTGCATATCCCTCCCCCTAGAAATTTCCTGGGAAACGTACTTAACTATAAAAGGTCCAATAGTTTCAGATGGTCCCTCAAAGCCCATAACGCTTCCCTAGGTTTCCATTGTAGACGTCACATACAGTCCCACAATAATACATAACCGCCTGCCTTTGTAATGCAATGAACTCCTAAGCTACTTAAACTTAGTTCTGTAAGGTATGGCCAGGATTGTGCAGGAAATCATCTTATCTGTCCTGTGTCCATGCAAGGATCCCCCTCCCTCCCACCCACCTGGGGCTGGACTTGATGGCGGGAGACAGTGGCTGGTGAGCCAAGCCTGTTTCTATAAATAATCCAGAGAGAGTAGGAGACAAAGTGAAAGTCGATCAGACAGACTGAGCCGCGGCTCCTGCGTGCAGCTGGGGGAAGCAGATGTGAATTCAGCTCCCCTCTGTGGGGCTCCACGGGTGATGGGGTGTGGGGACGAGAGGGTGAAGGGGGTGTGGGCGGGGGTAGTTAGCCAGCAAATAGCTGATCCCCAGAACCCTTTCAGGGCTGCCCTGCCCCATCCTATGGAATCAGGGGAATCACCATAATCTTGGTCTCCTTCCCTCCAGCAGTGAATCAGTCACGTCTGTAGCATGTTGTCCTGCTTCGCTGGTGCATTTCAGGCCCTCGCCTGGCCTATTTCTCAGCCCTTTCTTTAAGGCAGGAACCGGACTGGAGCACCGTGGTGCCGGGTTTCCACAGAAGTGTTGCTATTTAGTGGGGGGCTGGGAGCTAGGGCCCTGGGGTTCTCTCCCCAACTCTGGGACAGGAGTGGGTTGTAGTGGTGAGAGTGGGGCGGCAGGGAGTTGACTCCTGGGTTGTGCATCCGTGACCCCAAGAACTGCAGCACCCAGATCTGGATCTAGGCTTTTAGCTTGTCCCCTCCCTGGCATCTGAGCACCAGTGATCCCTGGGGGAGGAAATTAACTTTATACACCTCCGGTGTGGGGGAGACTTGCCTGTGATGGTGGGGGCCAGGGTGAGCTCTGGGTTCAAAGCCACTCCCTGCTGCTGCTCTGTGCTTGGCCTCCCTGCTGCAGCCATTCAAATCCCGTGGGCTAAATCTATTAAGAGCTGCGGGACTTGTCCCTGTCGGGAGCAGCGGGAGGCAGCGAAGATACAAGGGGCTCTCGGTGCTAAATATCCCTCCAGATGCTGCAGATTGGTCCAATCCCCATCCCCCTCCCCTGGTTCTGGGATCTGGCAGCAAGGACAGGGAGCCCGGTTGGTGAAGGAAGGATCACCTGGTTGGATGCCGGAGAGCCGGGCACTTGCTTCTTCCCCGGGTGCTGCTGTGGAGGCTGCGGCTGGTCGTTTTAACACCTTTGTGGGCAAAGCCCAACTGGGGTTTGCGACTTTCACGGCTTTTGTGTGTGTGTGTGTGTGTGTGTGTGTGTGTTTGGAGTACCCCCTGTGGGCTGTTGGTGTCATTGGTGCGTGCTGCCTGCATGGTTGAGAGAAGGCTACACCTCTGCCCTTTGAGCTAAGGGGGAATCTGCTCCCCCTTCACCCCTTTTGCTGGCAGTAGTAGTAGATCCTGTATCCTCCCATTAGGGCAAGATGATCCACGCTTCTTAACGTCATTTGACTGGAGGGTTATACGAGTCTCTCCTTGTGGGGTGCAAGTTGTGTGTTGCGGGGCGTGGAACAGGCACCCCCGACTGCCATGTTCAGCGGGGGCAGGGGGTTTGAGGCACAAGTGCGCCCCTTTGGTAGGCGCTGGGAGCTGCATTAGCCCTCCCTGACGGCACTGTTCAGTGTGTCCAGGGACAGGCCCGGAGGTGGGGGTGCTGCAGGAGCGCCGCTGTGTGGACCCCTCTCTAGCCAATCCCCAGCTGAGCCGCCCTTTGTGGCCAATCA